CTGTAGTTTAGGTATAGATTAATGTTGGCCTCCCAAGAAGTTTTATTCTTTCATAAAACTAAACCTACATCCATGAATATCACAATTTTAAAATGGAATTAAAATTCTGATAAATAGGCTTATTTTGTGAAATTTATCTAATATAGTCAGTTATTATTCTAAGACTGACAGTTAACTTTATTTTTTTTAAGTATTTAGTGACTAGAATTAAAATTATTAAAGGAATAAAAAGTACAGTGATAATTTACCATTACTCTGTCTTAGGATAAAGTTCCCATCAAATACTCTTTATCAGCTGTTTTCAAATAGTTTTATAGCCTCCCCTGTACACATGGGACAGTCTGTAGGCAACTAATAATAGCATTTTAGTGTATGGGTATGTTTGGTGGATAGGTTTATGATCATTTAACACTAAGAAGATAATATGGGACTGGACTATATGGTTCCAAAATATTTATTCAACCAGGATTTATTAACCTTTTACTATGTATGAAGAATTGCTTAAGGTATTATAGAGAGAAAAAAGGAGACCTATTTTTTTTAAAGTGTTACATTTTATATTGTTTTTTAAGTATTCTTTATTTTTTTTCTAACATTTATCTACTCAGTCTCTTTCATTTGGAAAAAAAAAAGCACCTTTGCAACAAATATACATAGTCCAGTCAGTCAGTAAACATTTAAGTGCATATATGTGCTTGGCATTGTGCTGAGTGCTGGGGATACAAAAAAACCCAGTTCCTGTCCTCAAGGGGCTTATAATCTAATGGAGGGGATAACAAGTAAACAAATATATACAAAGAAGCTATGTACAGGATAATTAGGAAGTAATTCACAGAGAGAGAACACTAAAATTAAGAGGGAATGGTAGAGACTCCCTAAAGAAGATGGGATTTTAGTTGGGATTTGAAGGAACCCAAGGAACTAAGGAGATAGCAGTGAGGAGAGAGTGTTCCAGGTATGGGGGACAAACAGTGGAAATGCCTTGGAAGTGTCTTGTTTGTGGAACATCCAGGACACCAGTGTCATTGAAGAGTAGGTGGTAGACAATAAAGTGTAAGACTGAAAAGGTTGAGATAGAGCAAAGTTATGAAGGTTTTTGTATACCAAACAGATGATTTTGTATTTTATTCTGGAGGCAGTATGAAGCCACTGGAGTTTATTGAGTGAAAGGATGACATGATAGGACCTGTGCTTCAGTAATATCACTTTAGTGGCTGAATGGCAGATAGATTGGAGTAAGGAGAGACTTGAGGCAGGCAGATCCAGTGACAGGCTATTACAATAGTCTGGGCATGAGGTGATGAGGGCCTGTACAAGAGTATTGGCAGTGTCAGAGGAGAGAAGGGGGTATATTTGAGAGATGTTGCATAAGGTGAGATCGACAGACCTTGGCAGCAGCTTGGATGTGGGTCTAAGAGATAGTGAGGAGTCCAGGATGACTCCTAGATTGCAAGTCTGGGAGCCTGAGAGGTTGGTGTTACCCTTGACTGTAACAGGACGGTAGGATAAAAGGAGGGTTTAGAGAGAAAGATAATGAGTTCTGATTCAAGTGAACCAAATTTTCTCATTGTCTATCTCCAAAAAGACATGTCTCATTCTGCATTTTGAGTCTATCTGATAAACTCTATCACCTCTTTGTTAGAAGGTGAGTAGTTTGAATTATCTTTGGTCCTTCAAAGTTGTTTTCCTTTATACTGTTCCTGTTAGTGTATAAAAGACAGTGCTTGGTACTGTGCCTGGCCATAGTAGGTCCTTAATAAATGACTCCTAGTGATGTCATTTCATGCAAGACTTGCCATGTTTCTCTGAATCATTTCCTTTCATTATTTGTTATAGTTTAATAATATTTCATTACATTTAGATATCATAATTTGTTCAGCTGTTCTTTTACTGATATTCTTCTTGCTCTAGTTCTTTGCAACAACAAAAGTTGATGCTGTATTTTTGTAAATGTGGATTCTTTCCCAATATTGCATCTCATGCTGATCCTTAATTCAGTTTCATAACATGGGTTTCACTCATCAAGATAAATAGGTAGATGATGTGGAAGAAGTGACATGAGGAATCTAATATTGGGACTCTAGACTCTGTTGCTGCCTTTTACAGAAGGAGTGGTGGATTATTGGGTTGAGTTTTTGGTACATTTATTTTCCTGGTTCTGTTCACTTCACTCTGCATCAACATATACATATCTTCCAAATTTTCTCTGATACTGTCCATTACATCATAATTTTTTGCCACAATAGTATTCCATTACAATTCATATACTCTAATTTGTTCAGTCATTCTCCAGTTCATTGGCACACCCACAGATACTAGTTCATAGCCATCATGAGAAGAGTGCATGCAAATAAATAAATAAATAAATGATATAAATACAAATATTTTTGTACTATGTTCCCTGTTTCTTTGCTCTGTTTGGGCTATAAGCCCAAGAACATGCACTTTTGTGACTTTTTGGGCATAGTTTTAGATTGCTTTCCCAGATGGCTAAATCATTTAATGGTTTTACTAACAGTGCTTTAGTATGCCTGTTTTCTGTAGCCCCTCCAAAATTTGACATATTTCATTATTTGTCATTGTTGTCAATTTGATGGAGATGACATGATATCTCAGAGATACTCTAGTTTACTTTTCTCTAATTATTAGTGATTTGTTACATTTTTTCATGTGGCTATTGTTAGCTTGTATTTTTTTTTTTTTTTAAAACTGCCTGTTAATATGATTTAATAATTTGCCTTTTGGAGGAATGTCTCATGTTCTTATAAAGTTGAATCAATTTCTTATCTGTCTTGGAAAGGGTTAACCAAGAGACTTACTGTAAAAGTTTTTTTAATTGCTTATTTAGAATTTTTTGTTCATACAAAACCTTTAAAATTTTGTCATTCTTTTTCTTCCTTGTTTGATCATCTTCCCTTATTCATAGCTGTAAAACAGATATTCTTCCTCCTTATTTGTTTATAATGTCACCTTTTATATATTAAGTAAAGTGTCATTTGTAATTTACCTTGGTATATGATTTGAGATGTTGGTCTGCATCTAATTTCTGCCAAATTGTTTTTGTGGTTGTTTTTCTTTTTTCTGTTTTCTGTTAACCTAATAGTGAGCCTTTCTCTTAGGAACTGGGATCTTTGGTTTTATCTAACATTATGTTACTGTGTTTAAGAGGAATTGAGGTTGTATAGGAGCTAGAGCTCTGGAGTTGGAGTCAGGAAGACCTGGGTCCGCATTTTGCCTGAGATACCTCCTAGCTGTGTTACAGCAGACAGATCACTTAACCTTTTTCAGGCTCATTTTCCTTATGAAGTGGAGATAAAAGTAATGTCTGCCTCACAGAGTTGCTGTGAGGACCAAATGACATAGCATGCATAAAGTACTTTGTAAACCTTAAAGTGCTACATAGATATAAACTCTTCTTATTTTTTATTATTTTATACATAGTGCTTTATAGTCACAAAATATTTTTGTTATCTTTCTTGGAGGGCTTTGCAAGCATTATCTGTTTATAAATGAAGGTATTGAACCTCAGGGAGATTGACTAAGATCTCTCACACACAATAAATGGTACAGTTGGTACTCAAACCCGGGTCTTGGTCTCGTGTTCTTGTCTGTTATATTGCAGTCATCTTGATGTTTGTCTTGCTACTTGACTTTGATGACTCTGGAGGAGAGAGTGAGGCTGACGATTTTGCAGAGGTCTGCTTCACTTAAGTCGAATTTCTGCACAAGTCAAGGCATCACCCCATGATATCATTGGTCCTCTTTGAGAACAAACGATGAACAACAACTACTAGAAAGCATGCTTTCATGTGAATAGTCAAGCTTGTAGAGTGCCTTCTGTAATTTGCCCTCCCCATCCCTCACTCCTACCCCAAACTACTCAGTCTTGCTTTGAAATAGTCTTGAAAGAATGTCTACATTGTCATCATCTAAAGTGACACCTGAAGATCTCTCTGTGAGTAGTGTTTGGCTAAATCTTTCTCTGCCTGCTGGGAGAGTACTGTTTGGTAGCCTGATGGGGACATGTGAATCTCTCTTAGCTGAAAATGTTTTTTCCTTCCTCAAATTTTCCTAAAGCCATTTGTCAGCATCTCTCATTTGTGTCCATCATAGTCTGCTTCCCATGAGTACATTTTGTATCTTTCCCAATAGAACTTAAGTTCTTTTTGGAGGACTGTCATTTTTTGGTGTTTAGATCCCTGTTGTCTGAATGCAATGCTTTGAAAGTGCTGAATGAATATTTATTGAATTACGTTGAATGGATGGCCAAAAACAGGGTATATACATGAAAAAAAGATAAACAGATATTTTGAAATTTTCTTGTTGTTTTATAAGCACATTTGGAAATAGACTGGATTTAGCCAGGATCTTGGGAATGGTTAAGTTTAGCTATGACAATGGCTCCAGAGAGACATTTATCTACTCATCTTGTAGTGTGGAGAAAATGAGACTTTGTGAGTTGTGTAAATGTAGGGAAGATAATAACATGGTTAGTAGGGGAAGAATTTTCCAGCCATACATATCAACTTGAGTGAAAGCTTAAAGGTTGGTAATAGAATGATTGGTTTAAGAGAGCATCAAGCAACTAGTTTGTAAAATATATTAAGGCCAAAGACTCTTGTGTGTTTGGGGGAGAAGGGAAGGTCCTTTAACACCAAACACCGTCCTCTGCACATAAAATTATTGAAGTAAATTTTCTTGTGATTGTGGAGGAAATGTGGTGGCAGCCTAGTAAGATTTTTCTCTTGTCTAGAGCTGAAGTGGAATGGAAAGCCACACAAGGGCTTTACAGGCAGGTAGTAGTAACTTAGTGAAATGCCATTAGAGAATGATGACATTGTTTTGAACATTGGAGTAGGGAATTGATGAAGTCCAGAGTAATATTTGAGATAATCACTGATAGACACATTGCAGATTAAAAAATTTTTATATATCATTTTAAATAAATTAATTGAGGTTTTAATATGATGCAATATACTTAAAATGTTCCCTTTTTTAAGGTGCACTGGATCGTTGTGTGATGGGGATTACAGCAGTTGAGATTTTGAATGCTTGTGATGAAACAGTTCCTGCTGCAGTCGATTCTCTTAGTCATCCAGCTATTAATTTAAAACAGGCTATGACAAGACGTAGTCTTGCTGCTCTAAAAAATATGGCCCATCACAAGCTACAAACCCTTGCCACAAACCTCTTGGCTTCTGAAGCATCTGACAAAGTAAGTTTTGTCTATGAATACATCAATTACTTAGTTCTCAAATTAGTAATATATATATATATATATATATATATATATATATAATATATTATATATATAAAATTTAAGAGTATGTTTTTAGCATTTGTCTTAGACTTCTTGAAGAAGACTATCGTGAAGGTAGCTCATTTTCTATGTTTTATTGTAGGTTAGGTATTCTACATATATTTTCTTTTAGGAGTATTTCAAACACCATTGTGAAACCTTAAATTTCAGTGACTTAGAAAGTAGATTCTAAATATTCAAATGCACATGACTTTTTAATATCACTAGTAGCATTTTAGAATAGGTGATATCTCTTATTTTAACATATTGTGGCTAATGCTTGAATCCAAGTTGATTTATCCTCAGGAGAGAATGTCATTTAGCAAATTCATAAATTACTAATCATTTGTTTTAAATCTGACATTTGCTTTCATTAAGGCTATTAATCCTAAGAATATAAGAAAATGCTTGAATTTCCCCCAAGTATGTTTGAATTTTACTTGTTATATTCCATAACAAGGAACTCAATTCAATATTTTCTTAACATGATGCCTATAATCCAGATAAAAAGTATAAGTTGCATTGTCTTTCATTCATTTTATAATTATTCTTTTGTTCTATAGCTTTTAGTCACTGTTCACTTTGTAAGATATGCTCTATGGCATTTTTAATGTTTCCTTACAAGAGTTGCTATGCAGCTGTCTCTCTGGGAATGAAGGACAAGGATAGCATGGATAATTGAAATCTAGAGATAATCCCCAGACCTCATTTGAGTCAATAGTTAAAATCTCTACCTCTCTTAACCTTTTAGCAGTGCTGTTAGTAAGTAGCAAAAATGACTGACTTGAATTTATAACATTTTTTTCCCTATGTGCTACTTATCCTCTGGAGCAAAAAATGTGAACATTGAAATGAATAAAAGGCTTATAATTCACAAATTGAAAATTTAGCCCAGGAAAAATTGAGTTGACTACATATGAGACATAGGTAATTTTGGATTTCCGATAGTAATTGGTAATAATGTCTTGTTGCCAGTTCTATTTCCCTGAAGTATAACATTTGACAATTATGTCTTGTCATGGCTTTTAGATGTTAGAGGGCTGAACCTTTTCTGCATCATTTTTCTTTCCTTTATCCCCAATCCCTAGGGAGTATGGAAGAAGCCATAGCTTAAACTTGACTGTCATGACCACATTTTCTTTGAAAGAGCCACACAGATGTCTATTGGAACCCTGTTTATATGTAACATGATTTGTAAACCATTAATATTAAGTAATAGATTTGGACATATGACATTGTTTAAAGTTTTCTCTGATATTTAACTTTGAGGTATTTTTTTGAAAGACAGGCATATAACATATTTTAAAATATAAATAACTTTCTTCAGGTTATCCTCTGGAAACAAAAATATGGAAAAAATCATTATACAACTAGAAACTAAAAAATAAATTGTACAGTAACATTTACAAAAGTCTTTTATAAGTGATCATGGTCCATTATGTGATTTTTACAGTCTTGTTTGTCCCAGTTTTAATAGCACACTTTATAGTGCAATTAGTGATAAAAGCACCAGATATCAGAGACACTACACTTACGTATTATAAAATATATTGCTTGTGAACATACTCAGTCCTGTGTAACAGTGGTAATTGTTGCCAAGCCTACCAGGAAAACAATTATAGGAGGGGAAAAAGGCTTAAGAAGCTGAGGCTGCAAAGGGATAATCACTTTATGAAAAATGTATGCTGACGGGACCATTAGGGATTTTGTTCACTGTTTGCTCATGTTCAGATTATGGGTCTTTCTGAGAGAAATAGCAGAAATGAGCCATCCTTTGGATGACATTAGTATTATGATCCTGGGGAAAAAATGTCCAAAAGATAAGAATAGAATTCCTAATCTGAAAAATATGACTGAAAGTCCAGTAATGTGCTGGGCTTCTTTTAAAAATGCAGGATTTTATAATATAAAATTATGTCTGTCATTGGAGATCCATATCCATTTTTATATCACTAATAACCTGAGTTTTACTCATTGCAATAGAATTCTCAGCTGTTAGTCATGAATATTTTATATAAGTAATGTTGTTAATCTCTTTGGCTATATAGAGTTACTTTATACACACCAAAAAAAAATTATCTACTGGCCACAGGTTTTTTTTTTGTTAACCAGAAGATAATAGATTAAAAAAATGGAATTACCTTTGTTTACTGTAAACTTAGGCAGCACAGTGGATAGAGTCTTAGGCCTCATCTTTGTGAGTTCAAATCTAGCCTCACATCCTTAGTAGCTGTGTGACCCTGGGCAAGTCACATAATCCTGTTTGCCTTAGTTCCTCATCTGTAAAATGAGCTGGAGAAGGAAATAGCAAACCACTCTGGTATCTTTGTTAAGAAAACCCCAAATGGGGTCATGAAGAGTAAGGCATGACTGAAATGACTGAATAGCACAATACTTCAAACTTAGATTTTTCTTGTTAGATGGTCTTTCTAATGACAAGACAGGAGTGTTTTTATTAAATGATTATTGTGCGGAAGTCTCTGTGGTAAGCACTAGGGATACAAAAATATAAGCAAAAAGAGAGACTCTGCCCTCAAGGGGCCCACATTTTAAACGAGAGGTGTCATACAAAACAGAGCTAGAAAGGGTAGAGTAGGAAATACACATGTGGGAGGATCATAGTGGTCAAGTCCTTGTGTCAAAAGCAGAACCAGGAGGGGAATGAAGGATAGAAAGATGGAAAGATAGATCCCTACCCAAATGGAAGCACCTGGAAGAATTCATCAATGGGAAAAGGGGGCTAGAGAGGTGGAGATAGGTTCCAGGTCCTGTCCTGGAGAAAGTTCTAGGATGAAGGGACAGCTGTGGTATTTAGTGGCAAAGTCCTGAGAGCTAGAAACAGAGCTAGGAGGTCATTCTATAATTTCTAGCATACAAAAGGACTGTGTCCTCCAAAGTTCATTTTTAGACAGTGTTTTAATATCTAGAATTTTCCTTATGGTATGAATCCTAAACAAGCTCAAAAAAACTCGCTTCATTCATAAATATCTGAAATATTTCATTGAAGTCATACTTCACTGACTTTCTATGACATGGAAATGCCTCTGGCTTTGTGAAGGCTCTTTCCTATCAAATAAAGAAATGCTTCGAGTCCAGATCTGAAGAAAGGCTGTGTGTTTGCTACCTAATTCCCACACTAGGTAAAACTCTGAGACATATCCTCATAGGTCTTGGCACATAGGAGGTGAATTGTTTTATCTAAGGTAAAGCATGAAAATGATATCTTAAGGGATATGATGGTTACTGTCTTCCCTCCTGGAGAAAATATTTCAACTGATTAAAGTCTTTGAAGAATTTGCTATAATATTTTGGAGTATGATCTAATGATCAGTTTGCCAGAGAAGTTCTCTAGGGATAGCTTTTCATATGAAGGACAGTGAACGAGTGTCTCACTTCAAGAAAGTGTGGAGATCAAGGAAATGTTTGTAGTCATTTTTAAGAGTGTGCAGTGTCACTAGCCCTAGCAGAAGGTCTACAGCAGATTGCCCTGTAGTCTATTTATGGGAAGATATAGTCAGAAGTCACCCAGTATAAGCTAGCATGCAAAGGGTCTTAGTTGCATTACTGGAGAGAGTGTTAACACTTTTTTTTTTTACTCAACAAGTATGTTGCTGGGCATGTATTATGTGCTGGCCATGGGAAATACAAAGAGAAAAGAAAAATTCCATTTTCAAGGAGCTTGTGTTCAGTAGGAATGATCATTGATCCATTAGACTATTTAGATAAATGTCTTGAGCTAGGAAAGTGATTCTCCCACTGTTCTCTTCCCTAGTCAAACTGTATCTGGATTATTGTGTTCAATTCTGGGTAGCATATTTTAGGAAAGACATTTAAAAGCAAGGTATTGTCCTAAGTGGAGCAATCAGGATTGGGTAAGGCCTAAAGATCATATAATGTGAAGATTGCTTGAAGGAAATGGGAATGTTTAGAGATTTGTGTGGGACATTGTAAGTAATTTCATGTATTTGATGGATCATTACATGAAAGAGGAATTAGGCTTTTTCCCTTCATGACTCCTACTGCAGAACTAGGAGCAAATCTGCTGGAGTTACATAAATGCAGATTTTTACTTCAGATAAAGAAAAACTTCCTGACATTTAGAGCTATCTCATTTAGAGGTTATGGATAACTGTGGGAGACTCTGGATTCACTACCACTGGATGTCTTCAAGCAAAGGTTGGATAACTACTTGATATGTGTGTTTTAGAGAGGGTTCTTATTAGGCTTATAGGTCTCTGGGTTTAGCTCTCAGTTTATATAAGCTCTTGTCTATTTGAAATGAACACAATAGTATAGAATAATACTATTGCACTTGTTAAATCTTTCATCAGTATTGTGGGTTAAGTAGACCTTTTACACTGGTCTGAGAAGCTGTCACTTAAAAGTGTTTGTTTTTAGGAGAAAATATGTTTCAAGTTCCAACCTGTGATGTTTGGAAAAAGTTGCCTCTCACAGTGTAGTTGTTACTAGTCTCTAAGGGAAGGAGAATCATGCCAGTGGAACCTTGAAGTCAAGAAAATCCCTTCTTCCCACTCTGTATGCCTTAACAGGGGTATGCGATAGGATAGGATATAATGGGATCATTAAAGACGGAAGAGGAACAGGGAAAGGGAGAGGGAGAAATAATAGTAATAGTTGACATTTGTGTGTAGTGTTTTATGTCTGCATAGCTATTTACATAAATCATTTCATTTTATCCTCACAGCAATCATTGAGATGGGTGATATTATCTCCATTTTGTAGTCTTTTTTAATGTCAGTTTGTATTCCTTAAGGCAGCTTGATGGCACAGTGATTAAAGCACTGGACCTGGAGTCAGAAAGACCTGAGTTCCAATCTAGCCTTTGATATTTATTAGCTGTGTGATTTTGGGCAAGTCATGTAACCTCTGCCTCGGTTTCCTCAACTGTAAAATTA